CCTCCCTTCACAGAGTCCAGGGGGGTTGGCCACACAGGGAAGGACAAGCATGGGCAGCCGGGGGACAGTGGCTGGGATGGCTGGCAGGAGAAAGGGTCCCCAGGGTGCCCCAACTTAGCCCATGAAGCTCAGATTGCCAAGACCCTCACGCCCCAGCACTGAGAGGACAGCAGAAGTCAGCAGGAGAGGGAGAGAGGAGAGACATGGGGGTTTGCCTCCTGATAAAATGAAAACATCTTCTCACCACCGGGCGAGGTTTGGCGTCTGTGGATGGGGCACTCACTCAGGCACAGTTCTCCCAGCGTGGCCCACACAGGCACGGGAACCACTCTCCTAGCAGGGCGAGGCGGGGCAGCATGGGGACCGCCCACCACGTATGAGCGGACCTCAAGACCACAGGCCACACCAGGACAAGGAGACATGCACCACAGGTCTGGGTGCCCACCCCGAGTGGGAGCCCAGACACACCAGGGACAGAAACAGCCCAGGTCCCCATGGGGCTGTGCCCCCAGCCTCGTCCCATAGGCACTGTCACATTTACAGATACCGTACTTCTTTTCAAAAGAGATAAATGTTCCAGCTTCATTTCCCAGCATTTGGAAGTGGAGAATTTACCTGGTTTCTTTCTTTTGGAGTACTGACTTAACCCTAGCTGCTTAGGGAGGCCCTGCCTGGGGGTGTGGGGAAAGCCCCCCAAACAGCCAGGGGAGGAAGCTGAGAAGCTCACAGAGGTTTTGCAGGACAGCATCTGTGAGGGTGAGGCAGGAGTACCCTCTTCCTGTGCAGAGACAGCTGTGCAGTCATGACTTGCAGAGGGGCTAGGCCGGGGGCAGGGGACAGCATGACCCACCCCAGAGCTGGGGCCACTGTGCAGCGTTCCCCTCCCCATGCAGGAGCAGATGGATGCCCAGCTCCGGAGAGGTGAGACCAACCAGAGCCTGGGACAAAACCTCTGCGGTGGGACGCTGAACACCGAGGCTGAGCAGGGGCGCCCTGCTTGCTCTGTGGAGATCAGCTCAGAGAGGGGCTGCAGGTGTGGACAGCAGGGCAAGCCACAGGCTGTCGTGCCTGGAGGAGCAGATGTTTTCAAGCACTGAAGGTGTGATGTGAGCAGACGGGGGTCACAGGAGGAGGCTTGGGTGCTCAGCCAACTAACCGGGGTTCTAGTCACCCGAGTTGATCAGCGACCACTCAAGGCAATCACTCGAGGCTGGTCAGGTGTGTGTCCAGACAGAGGGGTGAGAGTGGGTTTGCAGGAGACCCCGCCAGGCCCAGCCAGGGTGCAGGCTCAGGAGCCAGAAGACAACGCCGGACCTGCAGTGCAGCTGAGAGAGCATGGAGAGGCCAGACCAGGGAGCAGAGGAGCTGGGAGGGAGGGGACTTGGGGGATGGACAGGCTGATCGGGGGGGCAGATGCAGGGGCTGCTGGGAGAGGGGAGGGGAGGGGGAGGAGTGAGTGGAGGGTCCCACGGGGAGGCCGGAGGAGGCTTCAGGGTTGGTGGGGCAGCGGACATGATGGGCTGGCCCCAGCAAAGGGACGTGTGCCTGGACAGCAGGCGGCTCGGGTGCATGTGCCTGCACGTGCCGGAAGGTCGGGCACTCTGGGCACAGGCCAAACTGTCTCGGCTGCCCGCTGTGGGAGCTGGAGTCAGGACTAGGTGGCGCCTGCACAGTGGCCCATAGGAGGGAGCGCAGGCAGGACTTTCACTGACAGCATGGCCTGGCCCGCCATCAACAGTCACAAGAGGTGACAGCAACTCCTCCAGCCACTGCCAGCTGGAGGGCACTGGGCACTCCGCTGTCATCAGCCACTGACCTCGAGGGAGGCCAGCAACGGGGCTGGTCCCTCATCTCGCCGACCTGAGGGTTCTCCCAGCCCAGCGCCATCCAGGCAACAGGCTGGGGTTCATATCTGCTGAGATGGAATGCCCCCTTCCCGGGAAGGCTCTCCTGGACCTGCAGGCCACCCGTCCCCAGCAACACTGAGACACCGGGAAGGACACAGGCCCCACGCCCACTGGAGGAGCAGCCTTGGAGGGAGCCTTGAGTGTCCTGCCCACAGCCCAGGGAACCCTGCAGCACAGCCTGCTGATGATATAGCTCACGCCCTTCCCTTACCTTGGCTATCTTGCTCCTGCCACCCAGCAACCGGACGCTCTCACATCAACAATCGGTCTTGCTGTCAGACCGGGGGTTCTCTGGTCCCCCGTGTCCCCCAAAGTCCACAGACACAGGAAGTCACACACTCAAGAGCTGCTCTTGGGCAATGACAGTATTGGGGTGGTGTCTCTCACAGCAACCACCGCCCATTCTAAACCAGAGCAGGTCAGTTGGGCCCGAGGGACAGGGAGAGCCTGGCAAGCGGGAGCACGCGGGCTCCTTGCTGAGCCCAGGCCCGGCATCTGGTCAGCACATCAGGACCACAGGCGTGCCCACCTCTGGCCACCACTGTGCACCTCCCTGGGGATGAGGTGGGACACCCGGAGCAGGGCTTTGCTTGGAGCTGCGGGGTCCTGAGGGGAGGTGGCGATCTTTCCACAGGGCCAAGTGGACACTGTGAGGCCTGGCAGCTGAAGGGGAACACAGGTGGCACAGACCCTGCCAGGACAGGGAGACACGGCTCCTCACCTTGCTTTTGCCAGCAGGGCCACGGCACAGCCACACTCCTAGCACCCCAATGCCGCAGGGAGCTACAGTCCTCCATCTCTCAGCAAGTGCTACTGCCAGCTCCAGCAGGTGTCTCCGGCTGGTGTGGCCAGCCTGCTGCAGCCCAGCCGGCCCTGCGGTCTTGGATTCTAAGCAGCCCTGCCTCCCTCCCTCCTCTTCCTCCCAGATCTGCAGGGCTCCACCCCCTTACTCTGCCACAGTCTCCAGCACTTGCTCTCCAGTCACGGTTCAGATCTCCCCACCACCTCCTGTGTGGGGAAGACGGCTGGGTCACAGTGCTGCACTTACCAGTGACTCGCACACGACTTCAGGGCTGATGGCACTTAGGAGGCGGGCCTGGCTGGAGGGAGTCCCCGGGGCATGACCTGGAAGAGTATTCTCGTCCCCAGGTCCTCTCCCTGCTCTGCTAATGGCCGCCAGGAGGCGAGCAGCTCTCCTTCACCAGGCCCTTCCACCGTGCTGTTTCGGCCTTGGAGCCACTGACCATGGGCTGAACCCTCTGAAACCCGGGGGCCAAAATAAACCACTCCCTCTTTAGGTTGTGGGTGTGGGGTGCCGCGTCCCCTGTATCCCGACTGTCACCACACAGTATACCACTGCGGGAGGCAGGATGACAGTGATACCCAGGACATTCATCCCTGCACACGCGAGGGTCGAAGGCTGATGCTTGAGAAGACAGGCTAGGACGACGTGCAGAGTCCTGTCACCAGTTTGGAAAGGCCCGCTAAGGATTTGTGTAAAATGCAAGCCATGGCTGCGTCTTAAGCTCCGTGACTGTTTGGTGGTCGGGAGTATGGTGTGACATTACCTGAACCCGGGTCTCCCTGGCACGTCTGCATCTGAGGACACAGGAGTCCACGGAGCACCAGGTCAGGGACAGAGTGTGCTTCGGGCCTTGTCCCCACTCCTGCCTTCACAGTGCTGGACACCACCCATGTGACCGGCCAGGGACAACCCACTGCCACTTGTCAAACCCGCTCCCGAGGGACAGTGCCTGGCCTTCTGCGACTCCTCTGTATCCCAGCAACTGGCCAGGGCAGAAGCCACCCTCCCATGAAAGGACAGCTTCGACTCACACACAAAACTGCTTTCCAAAGTTTATTAAAAATCAAAGAATAGAAAAACTTTACATAAAAATATGTCAATTTTAGCTTCCACATCGTTGTCTGTACACCAAAAAATCTAAACATGATCTCTGTTAAGCCTGTAGTGCACGGCCCCGTGGCAGCCAGGCCAATTCATCGTCCACGTGATAGACGACAAGCACCTGCCCTGGGCCAAGCGCCTGTGGTGCCGCCGCCCCCGTGGTTCCCTTCATGCAGGTTGACAGTCAGTATTGCTAAGGTTAGAGATTAGTACAAGCCTACGGAGCGGTGTTTATAAATACTCTTTATCAACAGGTTCATAATTTAAATATTTTTAAATATTTGGGGTGATTCCAATCGCCACAACTGCAGACACCTGTGCCACCATTCTCTGGACTCCCCACGCCCGCGCACAGTCCACAGCGCTGGCTGCAGGGCCATCCTGCTCTGCGAGGGAGACCAGGGACGCCAACTCACACTTGCCGTGTCCAGTGCCAGCTACATCGGCCTGGGCCTCACCACTGCTACGCAGGGGTCAGAGGTGGCGCCGACCAGCTTCCCGTCCGGACATCCCCACGAGTGGCTTCCGCTGAGCGGAGCAGGGCCAGAAGCCTTGGAGAGGCGGGGAGCCGGGGTCCGCACGGAGCAGCTGACTCCCCAGGCAGCTGTAGTGCTCGAAAGCTCAGGCTGGCAGGTAGACAAATCCTTGTTCAAAGGAAGGTAGAGACCGTGGACACAGCGGCAGAGCACACTCGTGCACACACCTGTATGCTCTGGCGCCGGTGGTCGTGCCCTGTGGGACACACGAGACACGCCCAGTGGCGGAGGTACTTCTAGGGTATTTGCTCTTAACAGAACGGATGCATACTGCTATGCAGATTCCTCCATGGAATCAACGATTTCCTTTCTCCACATTCCTAAACTGGGTGCCATTGTCCTTAACGGTGTCCCCAGGCCATCATCACAGCCACATCACCAGCCTGAGGATTTTCTAACGTGACCACCTCTCCCCCCAGAAAGTTACACTTCTGGCACTTTCAACGCTGGATTTGTTGTCTAGTTTAAAAGAACGAAAACCAAAACGTTAGAACTCATGGTCAGAGCAGCCAGAGGCCTGCAGCCCAGGGCAGGGGTGGGGTGCGGGGTCGGAGGCCCCAAACCTGACGAACTGCACAGCCTCTGACCAAAAGAAAGACAGCAAATGAACCCCAAACCCTCCCATCACGGTGTTCATGATGATGCTTGTCAGACAACCAGCCAACACAGTGAACCCAACCTAGAAAATGCAACTGGGGAAAGGATCTAAGCTTGTTTAAAAAAAAATTCCCTCCTCCCTTAAATATAACTTATGTGAAAATATGAAATTAAATAAAAAATATCTGATTATTGCACAAGTCGTAAGTTTTCGATATTTACATAGAAAAACAGTTCTGAAGTCTCAAACCAAATGCAAGGGCAGTAACACGCCGGCCTCCAGCACTACGCCGTGAGGTGTGGGGACAGCCTGGAGCCCCTGTCGCTGAGGGTAGGAACGGAAGCTGCACCAGTCAGCCCGGGAGGTGGGTCTGCCACACACCGCTTGGCGAGCTCCCGTCCGCGGCGTAAGGCTGCAGACGGCATGGGGACATGCGGACAGCAGCAGGTGTCCGCCATGGCCGCGGCTCAGGTGCTTGAGGGCGCTGGTGCCGGGCTGCAGTGCCCAGGCCGTGGCAGTCTGGGGTGCGGCAGAGCCATTATCTGCTGAGACTCACAGGCAGACTGTCCCTCGTGTGCGTGTGCTTTTTCCTCCGCCAGCCGGTGCGGTTGTACTGGTGATGGCCCCGGTTGCCCACGGGGGGCCGCACGCCTCCGCTACCCACCGAGCTGTAGCCGCCTCCCTGGGTGTGGCCGTGGGAGCCTTTCATGGACAGCTTCATGCCACTGTGCTGCTGCAGAGACAGAAGAGAGCGGCATTGGGGTTCCGCTCCCAGACCAGTCTCTCCCTGCCCGCGGGAGCGGCACCACTGGCTGCGAGCTGCGCTCCTCTCCAGTGGAAAAGGGCAGAAGCCCCAGGGATCAAGCCGCGCACAGCGGCACACAAGGCTCTCCCAGGACCGACGTCATCGCGCCTTCCAGGATCCCTCTGGCCCCAGACCCCCGGCTTACCTCCAGCTCATCCTGCTGGTCCTCAGGTGAGAAGCCCTCGTCACCCCACCCCGCAGTGACCCGGACACATGAGGGCTGGCGCAGCCTTGCTCCCCTGCCTCCCACCGCTGCGCTCAGGCAGAACAAGGGGAGCACGGCTCGAGTCGGGAAGCTGAGCGAGGGGAGCCCAGGAAGCTCTGCCACCTCCAAAGGGCCCAAGAGCCAATCTCCAAGACAAACACAATGCCAAGCAGGATTCCACTCGGGGGAAGCAACGTTCCTCTGACGGATGTGCCCAGCACCATCGAGCCTGGGAAAGGGGCCTGCATGGAGCCCTGCTATAGGGGCACAGACATGTGGACACTCTGGCGCCGGCGGTCGTGCCCTGCGAGTGCCTCAAGCACGGGACTCAGCAGCAAGCTGCTTGCACAAGCACATTTCTCCTGCACCAGGCAAGGCAGAGACAAGCCAGGGCCCGGAGGACTCCGGTTCCCCCTAAGACTTGCAGGGGAGCCCCTGAGGCCGGGCCACCACCCACCACTGCACCCTGGCCCAGCACAGGGAGCAGCGGCTGGCAGACAGTGCTTCCCACAGAGGGGCAGCAAGACTGACTGATTCATGGTGTAGCTTTTGCTTCTTGAAAACCACATTACTTGGCAGGAAACCAACTAAATGAACTTAACAAACAAAGAAACAAAATAGTCTTCATTCTGACCTGCGCCTATTTCAAATTTCACTGTTACGCTAACCAGTTCAACAAGAGAATTATGAGCAGCTTTCCGTGAGAAGGAAACTACGTCCTTAGATACTGTCACATTGAAAGTGTTATCTCCGGGCACCCATGGAGGAGGAGGTGTGGCGGGGAGGGCGGAACGTACCTTATGATACAGGTGAGGGCTGGACAGTGGGTTGGGGGACGCTGAGGGGATGGCCGGGGAGGACACATGGTGCCCAGCTTTCAAGGACGCAGTTCCTTCCACACCAGCTTGCCTGCACGGGACAGGTGCGACCCCGAGGGTCGGAGGAGGGATGGTGAACCTGGTCTAGGATCAAACAGAGAAGGGCATGGCACAGCACATGAGAGCCAGGGCCTGGGTGGGGCAGGGCAGTGGGGCTGCTCTGAGCACCCTATCCGCTCAGGCCTAGGAAAGCAGAGCCGTTTCGTGCCGAGCTGACACTGTTTCCTGAGCTGGAAATGCCTGATGTTCTAAAAACATTCATAAGCCTAGGCATACGGGTTTGCCACCAACTCGGGGGAAATCCTGATTCCAAGCAATCAGTCACAGAGAGCTGCCACCCAGTGCCAGGAGGGACCCAGTGGAGCCCGCCCCCCGCCCCCCTGGCACAGGGCTCAGCACTGGGGTCCCGCATCTGCTCTCCCCACACCTCCATCCTGATCTCACTGTCTTCCCAGAAGGGGAGATGAGCAGCTGCGGGGGCTGAGCACACAGACTCCTGGGCCCCGCTCTCACCGCTGGTCAGCACCCGCCCCTCCCACAGCTGATCCCAGTCCAGGGCTGCCCTCCCAGAGACAGGGGGCCAGGACAGCAACACCCCCGAACCTGGCTGGCTCTGTCCACCACTCCCCACCTTGGGCTCTGCCCCCGGAAGGTGGAGATAAGGCCTCCTGGGGCCTGGCAGAACATGGGAGTTATCACCACTCTCTCCACTGGCCCTGTCTCAGCAGCTCCCAGCCTTGGCATGGTAGCCCTGCCCAGAGGAACTCGTAAGCGACAGTGACAACCTGGGCCATACTTAGCTTCTCCTTCAGCGCCATCAGCCCTGCCACCTAGGACCCTCAACTATACGGCAGCGGCCTAGACGAAGGCCTGGGCTGCCCTGGGCTCAGAGATGAGAGAGAGCCTTTCGGGGTTAAATAAACACCACCACCCCTGGGCCAGATGTCACAGCCACAGCCCACGCACCCCAAGGAACTCCTCTGCTGCATTTACGTCAAATGCAAAACAGAGCCCACATCTCCAAAACTGATTTCACTTTCCTTTAAGTAAATGACGGTGCTGGGTTGGTACACATCCAGCCAGTATATAATGGAAGATTTAACACTTCAAAGCCCTCTATTGGACTTGTGATTGTCCAAGTTTAAAAACACAGCATATTCTAACACAGTCCCTGGACAACACGTAACCGATGTTGTGGAAAGGCTGGGACAGGACCCTCTTCCCCCACAAGAGGAGCAGGCCTGCGGGCTCGGGTGGGGCCCCTCCTGTGAGGTCACTTCACTCCTCCAGAAGCACGAGTCGCCTCGCTGCTCTGACCGGACACCGTGAGCTCGCTGTCAGCAGTGTCACAGACCGAGCTTTCAGAATAGTGGGAATTATAGCGTATCCACAACAAGAGAGAGAGACAATTTCTATAATAAAATAGAAATGTAAACCTATCACAGGTTCAAAAAGTCCTTTTCCTAAATCAGAATCAGGCCAATCTCCAGCAGCCCACTGCCGGACGTACCTGATTGTTGGTTGTCATGATCAGTGTCCGGGAGGGAGTGGCCTGAGGCTTGGCGCTGGGCAAGGGCAGGGCAGTGGGCAAGCTGCCCATGAGTGCCGTGGGCGCCTGCAGGCTGAACTGGTAGACGCTGGGCGTGGTAGAGGGCGGGGTATCTGAGTCCTGGAATCCAGCAGAGAGACAGCGGCTCGACACCAGGCACTGTGCCCATGGCAGGAGAGCCACACACGGCATGCACACGCACAGTCCACTGGCACAACTGCGAGTGGCACAACTGCACTCCACCGGCTTCCAGGGGTGCCACGGGGCAGACGGTGGGGTGCGTGTGCACAAACACAGTGAGTGCACTCAACACTGCGTGGCTGTCACCAAACACAACCCCTATAGGAGGACAGGATGCAGAGAACCAGGGCCACTCACAATGTCACTTCCGGAGAGGGAAGACACAGACGAAGCAGAGGAGCCGGAAGAGAGAAGCTGGGGACTGGACAGGGACAAGGTCAGGCGCTGGCTGTGGGGTGACCCGGCTTCCCGGCTCTGTGTCTGCTCCCCATTGCACATGGAGATTCGCTCTTTTATCTTAATCCTGTTGTCTGTGTGGAAAACAAGCGCAGGTCGCCGAGCGCACGGGTCCCAGTCTTCCAGAGCCACCCTCTCCTGGGCCCAGCTGAGCCCTGAAGTGGGCACAGCCCAGGCTCAGGTCTACACTTTAATTTACCCAACTTGAAAAGCTATGTTCAATTCAAATACACCTGCTGCATCGCGGGTCTATAAATAAATCACCTCCCACACAGCTTTCAGGAAGCCCAGATCCAGGCCAGGAGCATCAAGTGCCCCAATCAGGGAGTGCAGGGAGCACAAGCACACAGTGCACCTCCAGACTTAGCCCAGAAACAGTGCCTCGGACTCCTCGGCAGTGCTCCCTGTCAGATGCTAACGCTCTAGACCAAGTCAGACAAAATACATTCCAATGAGTGTAACTGTACGGTATACCTAAAATGTACCAATAAACTCAATTAAAAAAAAACACATTCCAAAAGCGAATTTCACCTGGGGCTTCTCATACTCCTTAAAATTGCACGCAAAGCCATACTTCCGCTGGGCAGAGCTGGCCTCCCTCGGGTTTACAGTCTTTAACCCCGTGCTCACAGGAGAAGCCTGCACTCTCCCAGGAAGGTACAGTGGCACCTGGGCCTTCGTGGGTGAGCAGGACAGCAGAGAGGGGCTCTCACCCAGGTCCGGCAGCAGGTGGACTCTGCTGCCCCACTTCTCCTTGATCCACCTCCGGTAGTCAATCACTTCCTGAGTCACCTTGATGATTCTTCCTAAAGTACTGCAAGGTAACGCCAGTGTCAGCAGGGCAACAGCTCTGGGGGAGCCAAGACTCCCTTGGAGAAGCCGCAGCACCCTGTAGCTGTACGTCCTCCTGCCCAGCAAGAGGAGGAGACGCATGGGTACAGCTTCACAAAGCCTTTGCGCCTTCCGACTCTGAGCTCAAGCACAGTCTGAGACCACAGTATAAAGTGGGTTCTCCTTTACAGTTTGCCTCCACAGACCCCGCACAGCCGGCCCATGGCCCAACCTCCCACCCACAGGCACCGCAGCCAGACACTTCCATCTACCACAGCACAGCCGAGCACGGGGTGCGACACCCACTGCCCTGCATGGGCCCAGGGCTCCACTGCAAACGTATCTCCACCACCATGAGCCTGAAATCGTGCAGGCCAGGGACAGAAACAACTGCCTCAGGGCACTGTCCACTCCCAGTCTGCACGGCCACCTTCTCCTTCCAGGCCACTCCCACCTCCTCCTGACCCCTTCCCCAGGGCTGCAGCAGCACCCTGGGGCCAGAATGAGGATCTCCTGCAGCCCGAGGAGTGCACTGCAGGAAGGCACCACCTGCTGAGAGCAGGTCAGCCCTGGCCCCAGAAGGTGCCAAGGATATGCGGAGACGGAGACGGCCCAGGGGGACAGGTATCCCAAGGCATTCAGAGCCAGACAAGAGGCCCTGAGGAAATGACTTCCTTATCCACCCCTGCAAGTTTCCCGAAACACAACAGTGAACCTATTGGCCAGGACTTTCACAGAAGCCATGGACCAGGAAGGCGTGGCTGCTGCCCAATGGGAGCTGGGGCCCAGAGCGAGGATGGCCCTCGGTTACCTTTCTGAGTCTCTGTTGGGGTAGGACCTGGCGAGGGGTGACACGGCATGGCTGAGAACAATGTAGGCGTAGTCAAACACCTGTTTCACCTGCATGGCCCCGTAGGAGCTCCGGCCAACGTCATTTCCTGCAAGGGAGGGCACCCTCACTCAACGGAGGTACACCGGGGCCTCACGGGACAGACACGGAGGCGCTGCAGCCTGTGTTGCAGGAGGCCGAGCCATGTGGAGGGTGGCAGTGGTGACACCAACACCCCAAGGCCAAGGGAGAGCACAATGCACATCCACCCCAGAGGTGTGTGGCTTACAGCCGTACAGGACATGACACCTCCAGGAGCTCGGACAGTGCCCCAGCAAGGGCAGCACCCTTACCAGGCAGCAGTGGGTCCTCGATGCATAGCATGGATGGCCTGTACCCGCTGGTCATGGCTTTCATGATCTCTTCTTTGGCAATGTAGGCACCTCCTTCTTTTATTCTAATACCAGTTTTCAAGTAATTAAAATTTCTTCCATACAGTTCAAAAAATTCTACGAGAAGCATTCCAAGGTTTTCATCGGCTCTCCGGGCATCAATTCTTGGATGCAACTGTAAAAGCAACGCAAGCACGTTTGGTACAGCTCCAAGCCCTATCTACAGAGATGCAAAGGACGGCGCTGAATGCCACAGGCCCGGGGGAGCGTGGCCAGCAGCATGCAGGCACCAGCGGCCTTGACTGCCACTGTGGGTAATGAGCACTCCACAGAAGCAGCGTCTGGATGCACCCTTAGAGTGTGAAAGTGGCGACCTACAGTGACTTCCTACCAACACCAGCCACAGAGAGCCAAGTGAGCTGACCGCACGCTGCATACTCCAGTCCCCACACAGTAGAAGAGTCCAGTCATTCTCAAACATAACCCATAGGTGGCAGCACTAGACTGACTGGTTCCACACAGTGCCGAAGCTGGGTGCTGGGTGCTGGGTGCTGGGTGCTATACTAGCAAACCCACACCCTGCTGGTCACACAGGAGCATGAGCCCCGCTCTGACCCCGGGCAGTGCCTGCCCACAGTGCGATGACGCAATGCTGCACTCTCCGCAGACCGGCGCTGCCTCATGCAGCTCTGCACGCTGGCCAGTCAGAGCACAGCTGCTGGCCACAAACACCGCACGTCTGGCACCTGGCACCAGGGACCTGTGCAGCCTGTGGCCTCCTTCAGGGCTGCCAGAGAACCCTGTCAGTCGCAGGCCAGAGGCCGCTGCTGGGCCCACGAGCAGGGGCGTCCTGACAGCACCTCAAGGAGGACAGCTGGAGATGCCACTGACAGCCACCTGTCAGGCACGGGCATGAGGAGTTTGGGCCATTGAGGGTCTGCCTGTGTCGTCCATAGTGATCACGGAGGCTGTGTGTTTTTGCTCACCTCTACCCTCTTCCTTCAGACACTGAGAGCCAGCCCAGCACAGGGTCTGGGTCCCCCCAGCCCCAGTAGCCACAGCAAGCATTCTTGGGCTCAGTGGGTACAGGACAGGCAAAGGGCCTGGCATGGCCTCTGTGGGGCCTGGATGGCTATGCAGACCCCATAAAGAAGTATAACACAAGGTCCTACAGTTTCTTCAGTATAAATCACAGACAACAGCCCACCCTCCTCAAAAACAAAAACAAAACAAAACAAAAAACCCACTTCTTGTCCCTAAAGAAAGGAACACTCTCAATGTAAATACTCCTTGAGTTCAAAGGGTCATCACTTGACTTCCAGGGCCTCATCACAGCGGCCCCAGGAAGGACAGCAAGGCTTGCCGCACCCCAGAAGCAGCTGGCCAGAAACCCGAGAGAGGCCACCCTTCTACCCACCTCCCTCAGACACTCCCAAGAGATGGTAATCATACCTGCAGAAAGCTGATGGCCATTAAAATGAGGCTGTATGAGCTAATTCCACCTGTAAAAACCTCATTCAGGTCCCTCTGCAGAAGGAACTGTTTCAATACTAAAATCAAGTAAGGCAGCAATGAATATTTCTGTAAATCCCAAGAGAGAGATACACTGATTAGTTAATACACTCAAACAAATTTCAGACAGCAACCTGGAACAGAGGAAAGTTTCACCTGTCCTCCTGCCCACTTTGGGGCTAAGGGTCATCAGTGTGGGCTGCTAAGAGGCCAAAGCAGTGACTTGGTGGGGCGGGAAGGGGGCTGTGCATGAAGGGAAGCCAGGGTGTGTGAGGCTCCTGCGGCAGGGTCCTCACAGCCCCAGGCTCCCCCCGGGGTGGAAATGCTCACCCAGCCGGGTGAGGATGCAGAAGAGGGGCAGGGGCAGGCCCTGCATGAGTGGGAGACACAGACAGGGCCAGGCCCCTGGTAGCCTGGGGGGATGACCACCTGCCTGGGCAGCCCATGCCCTTGGCCAGAGCCCAAACACAGCAGCTTGAGCAGCAAGTCTGCCGAGGTACCCACAGGCCCCAAGGCCATCTGAGCCACATCATGGTGACGCCCTTCCCTGGGGCTCCTGCAGGCTGGGTGTGAGCCTGTGAAACTGGGGGGCGGACCCCTGAAATAGCCAAGGGCATTTCACAGAGCCTCGCAGTAAGGATCCACCGCAGGCAAAGGCTACTCGAACAAAGCGAGGCAAGTGTGAACAGCAGTGAAATACTTTCCAGTGTCTCAGAAACCGCACTGGAGGAGAAAAGTGTGTGCTCTGTGTCACTGATGACCCCCACACTCGGCAGAGGTTTTCGTTGCTCCTTTAAAAGGACCCCTGGTCCAGAGCTCACGCCCTGTCGTGTGGGGCCAGCGTGTCGACCACAGTACCTTCATGTAGTTCTTGATGAACTCCGCTGCCCGGACGCCAGTCTCCATGTTAAAGCTGATGTCGACTTTAACTTCAGTCTCCTGGTCTGTGAGCTTTATTATCGGTACCTATGAAGATTGAATTTTAAAAACTGCTTCAATTCACAAAAACCTTCCTAGTCAGGCATCACGTTTCCAGAGTTGGTTGTACAGAGACTTTAGGGTCCTGTCCTAGTCACAGCAGAGATTCAGAAGGCACAGAGCCCAGATCCTCAGGGAAGAGGGATTTCTGAGGAGCAACGTGAGGGGGTCTGCAGCACCGGTCCCACTCCTCAGTGTGTAGGCCCTGCCGGCCAGCACACCACGGCGGGAATCCCCAGCAGCAGCAAGTGAGCGGGCCTGCCCCACAGGCTCAGCCTTGGAGAAGCCCCCCGCTTGTGCCTGGCAAGGGTCCCCCACCCTCTGCTCGGTGAAACTTTTTCAAAATGAGGGCACATACTCAGACTGTGGACGTGGGCTTGGCTCCGGTGGTTGTTCTCAGGCAGCACCTTCACCTGGGCCCTCACCCCACCCAACTGCGCGCTGTCACTGCATAGGAGGCACCCGGAGCAGACGTGGTGGTGCAGCCGTGGAGGCGCTCAGACAGAGAAGACTCAACACCACAGCAGGGAGTCCCATGGAACCAGGCGGCTGCCACAGCAGCCATTCGGAGTGCTGCAGAGCAGAAGGCTCTGCAACTCAGGCTATCAGGTCTCTCCTGAGTTCCACATCTAAACAAAGGCACCTGCAGGAGCCCCTAGCCACTTCTCTGCTGTCCAGAGTCTCATTTTCACTGACTTGCATCCAACAGGAATGGGCAAAAGAAGACAGAGGGCCAGAGACACCAGCGGCCCTGTGTGCCACGTGTGCCAGCAAGGGCGGCTGGGTGGACTCAGCGACGCACAGCAACAGGACCAGGTGAAAGCACAGACTGGCAAATGGGAGTCTCCTGCTGTCACGACACAATGCCCTCTGGTCACTGGGCCGTGCACTCGAGCGGGCAGCACTGAAGTGCAGGTCCCATCAGTGCCCCCCTCCTCTGCTCATTCACCTGCACAGGTAGACACCTTAGAGTGCAGTGTCCAGAACAGTCTGAAAACCTCACAAAGGCCAGCCCCTGCCTGTCACCAGAGTGCTGGGGATCGTGACATGTGATGAGCACAGGGAAGCGTGCCTGAGACTGCCATGGAACAGAGCCAGCCGGTCACTGAAGTGAAGCAGAGCTGGCTGCACCGGCAGGGGCAAACGACACTCACTGTAGCTTTGTCGAGGACTTTGATGGAGCCCGGCTCTGCCACATGGTGCTTCCGCAGGGCTTGCTCCAACAGCTGCAGAGGAGGACGCTCCCATTTTCCAAACACCACCAGATCTATGTCACTGGACGGGAAAGGGAGCAGGTGAGCCACTGCTTCTCTGTCAGTGGTGTCCCACGGGGAGCAGCCAGCGCCAGGCGGGATCAGCAGCCAGGCCGCGCCCTGAGGGAGGTGAGTGCAGCTCGCAGACTGCCACAGAGTGGGACAGAACCCGCGAGAGCTTTCCCAAGAGCCCGGGAGGCGGTCTCAGGCAAGAGTGCACCCTGCACCCAGGCCTCAGCTCTTTCTCTTCAGGCCACACTGCCTGCACCAGCTCACACTGGTCTGCCCAGGGCCCTGCTGTCCCTGCCGCCCCACCACGCCCCACACCCGGCTCCCAGGAACCTCAGCCCCCGAAGGTTACAGGCAGCGGAAGCGTGGCATGGGATTCTTGGGAAATGCATGTGGATGTCCAGAGCCCTTCGTGAGAAACACTAGGTGATAACCTTAGACTACAAACTGGGTATTTCTCTATTATACAAGAACTCTCAAGAATACAGTATTTAAACAGAAGTTCCTTAAATCTGTTAAAACTTTGTAAAATCAAATTTTCAAAAATACCCTCAATACCACCAGAATGTTCTCCACTGTAGCTGCTCTGCCCCATCCCTGGGCTGGTGAGGCCCCTCCGCAGCTCACTCTGAGGGCACGGCCTGCCCTCCCTGGCCTTTCCTCCACAGTAGGACACAGCAGGAAGGCTGGCCGCACTGGGCCCTTGGCGGGGTCCCTCTGTCTCAAATGTCACAGCTTCAGCAAGCTTCTGTTGCTCACCATGTGCCCAGGCTACATGGACTAAGATCAACTTTTCATTTGTCATCTTTTGAGTGTCCAGCATTTCTGTGCCTCAACAGAGTGAGAACAAGAGGAAAAATGTAGGACAACCAGACTACTTCCACAGTACTAAATTAAACTTCCTCCTTGCCAAGTTCCCCTGGGCCCCCACCTTTTCCTAGGCCAGCCTCGGCAACCTCAGACCTGGTCAGAGCACCTGCTCCCATCCTGGGTGAGCGCACCCGGGTTCCGCCCTGGACAGTGGGGCACTCACCTCGTTGGAAGATAGAGGCCTGTGCTAAAGCTGCCAAATATCTGTACCTGGAAGAAAGCACAGCTCTTGGAACACGGCCACTGTCCTGCACACAGTCCCATGACCCTCCCCACCGAGGCCTCGCTGCATCCTGGGTAACAGGAAGACCACCTGGCAGTTAGGAGGCGAGTGGGGGCAGTGAGGACAGGTGGAAAGCACCTCTGGAAACCAGGCCTCAGAGAAGCGTTTGGAACCCAAGAGGGGACGGACACCTACTGCCTTCATCCCACACTGGCTCAGCACTGTGTGCTCCTCAGAGCCAGTTTCAAACCTTCCATTCATCCTCAGCACAGCCACAGACAGCGCAGGACTCTGTCCTGGGTACTGAATGTAGGGAGCAGGGGACACTAGGTGCTGCCTTCCCCGAGAGGGAGCACACTGCAGCTCAGCAGGAGCAGCTGGAGGAGCCCACAGCACCCAGCATGCTCAGGTGGCTCCTCAGAAGGGCAGGGGGAGGCTGCCCCTGGGCAGAGAGCAGGGCTCGGGCAGCCTGAAGCCTCCATGCCAAGTGCCCTGAATGCACCAGGATCAACGCTCAGGGCAGGGGGTGCGAGGACGTGAGACGCTGGGTTTAAACAAGATTAACCACACCTCGGGCTGGGGCCAGAGCTGGGCAGTGGCCTGCAGCGGTGTTCACTGCAAGGCCGGGGCCTTGGCAGGGACTGCGGGGGCTGAGCTGTGTGGGTTGAGAGCGGCCCAAGCCCGGGGATGGGACGACGCAGCAGAGACTCACGTCCGCCGTGGGCCACAGATCCTTCACCACAGTCTCGATCCGCTTCACCACCTCCCTTCTCATGGCTGCTTCCTCAGGACAAGGGGACATGAAGTTATAAAAGTCAATGATCTCCTCGTGAAGTCTAGGGATGGAAGAGAAGACAAGCCAGCGTTACTATTCGCCGAACCATGCTTTCCAGTCGGCCAGGTCCGTGTGACTGGAAACACTTTGTTCCCCCACTGAAATACATGGTGGTGGCTGGAATTACACAGCATGACAGCACTGTGAGCAGTGAACTCTGTCTACAGCAAAGAGTAATAAATTTACAACTGGTTTTTAATGACATATTTGAAAGAATCATTTCTGTGGTTTATGTTAAGAAAATGAGAGTGAGAAAACACTTTCCCACAAGGGCCGTGTGCACAAGGACCAGCCCGGTGCCGCAGCCCTGGGTCCTCCTGGTCCCCATGCCAGGCAGCACTAGTGTCCAGTCTCAGACACATGTATCCGCGGGCTGCCCAAGACCCATCTGGGCAACACGGTGTGCCAAGACTGCTTCGGGTAAGCGTGGACTCCTCGTCCAGCTCAGTCCCCTCACAGCTGGAGCCCCAGGCTCACACCCGGCTCCTTCCTCCTTCCGAGGCTCAGCATGGAGAACAGCAAGACGCATGGCCACGTGATTCCTCAAAGCAGCAGTGCTGGCCTAAGCATCGCCCTCCAGCTCCTGGGCTGCACAGGGCCGGCCTGTGGCCAGGGGTACTGGCCTGGACCCTGTCCTACAGGTGCAGAGGAAGCAGCAGGTCATCTTCCTTCCTGCAAGTGACTAGAGAGACGGGGAGCAAAGCGTCCAATGCCAGAAATGATGGCAAACACATCCACCACTTCCTTGCTAAGGTACATCCACAAGGCAAACAGCAAAGACAAAAGTAAGATGTGGTCTGCAGTACCACTAGAAGAGCAGTCTGTTTAAAGGAGGGACTACAAAGTTAAGTCCAGAAGGTAAGAGGCTACAACCCTGCACTATTTCACAGCTGGCTCCTAAGGCTAACGTCAGCGATCTCGCACCTGAAGCCTCACCCACACCCCAAGACACCATGTGGAGTGAGCGCCGTGAGCACGGCATTGTCTGGAGCGTACAGCAGCCTCTGCCAGCGGAAGCCGGGAGCCCAACAGGCTCGCTCACCGTATACCCACAGCGTCACCATCACTGGCAGCTAATCTTCCGAAACTTCATTTTTAAAAATAAAAAAGCTCACCCAACATATGGCCAATGCAGACAGCCACAAGTCATTCTCAGCGGACCCGAGAAGGTAACGACTCTGGCAATGTTAAAGCGAAGCATTTCCATGGTGCAACACACTGCAGACTTCTGAGGCAGGGCTTCCATCTCTCCAACAATCCAATCCCCGAGCCCGCACTCAGCAGCTGCTCATCAGTCCTTCCACCAGCCTGCTGGCCGGGCTGCACTGCCACCACTTCCTGAGCCTCGACTGGCAGCCTTCTCCCCCATGAGGCTGCCCAGGGTGTCCCGCACGTCCCCAAGCCGCTGTCACTGCAGAGCTCTCGGTGAAACCGCACCTGAGCGTCGGCCCCTACACAGCATGTGGCCCCCTGCACCAGCATCCAGAGCTGCACTAAGGACAGCAGGATATAGGGATCTAGAGGCTAACAGAGACATGACTGCCCCAAGTCATGGGAGGACACTGAGGCTGGTATCGACACCCCACATATTCAGCGCATTAAGATGTCTACAGGCAGAGCTCTGCAGTGTGAGCACTGCATTGCAGTCTCCAGGTCTCCCCTGCAAAGCACGGTACGCTGTCATCCTCCACTTAGGACTGTCTACAGGTGGTAACGAGGGAAGCAGTCCCACCTGCACCTGCCCAGGCCCCTGCAGTGCACACCCTGCATTAGGACTCCGGGGAGCCTGCTGAGTGCCATGTCCTGCTGGCCCCGTGTCTGATCTGATGCCCGCTCGCTTGTACAAGGCCAATGGACTCCTGTAATGACAAAACTACAGCCCTCCCACGTGTCCAGGACACCAGACCCTCTGGCTTCAGCACTGCACCCTAGCAGTGCAATACAGCCCCCGCCACTCCTGTCTGAAGCTGATGATGAACAGGACCTGCATGTTAGCAACTGCCATAACAAAACACTGTCACAGGCAGGAGTTCATGCTCACAGCAGAACGGGGCCGGGGCCTGGACTGCCCAGCGGTGCTGCTTGGGTGAGGTGCTGGGTAAGAGGGCTCTGGCCAGACTCCCTGGGCCCACCATGGGCCAGCAGGGCCACCCAGGCACCACACAACTCCAGAAGCCACCGAGGACCCCGAATGATGATCCCTGTGGACACAGCAGGGCCATGACTGTCGAGCCAGGCAGACCCGAAGGGCCTGTAGCTGCCCCTTGCTCCAACTCTTTGGACCCTCGAAGGCCAGGCAGCGAGGCTGACCACAGGCCAAGAAGGGAACTGAGGCACAGGAGTAATCCAAGAAACAGTAAATCCTCTGTTCCTGGCCTCCAGCACCCTGCAGCCCTGCAGGAGGACAGCACCCTGGACAGTGCCTACTCCAAGCCAGGGATCAGCCTGCATAGATGGAAAGAACCCCAGGCTCTGGGTGAGCTCACTCCCCACCCTCACACTGAGCTACAGTCCTGAAGTGACTACTTCACCCCACCCTTAGTCCCAAGTCAGCAGAGACAAATGCCTTTTTACAAAACAGGCAAACAGTGCAGAACACTTAGAATTACCTTGCCAGTCACCAACAGTCTCTGCCACCTTAGAAAGCTGCACACGATGTCACAGCAATGTGCAACTGCCCCTGGGCCTCTGTGCAATGGTCTGGGCCCTGCTGACACCAAGGCGGCTAGGGGACGTTCCAGGACTGGCAGACGGCCTTCCTGAACCCTCCCACACTGCAGGTCACCTCTGCAGCACCCATGACAGAGTTCACCTCACTCAGAGAGCAGGCCTGTGCGTGTTCCAGACAGACACACCTCTTCTGAGCATTTCTACCTACACTCGGCTGACCCCATGGATACCGGGACCACTGGTTCAAGAAAGCACCATCACCAGCCAGGACTGGCCACCAGCCCCATGTGGCCTGCACCCTTCCCTGAGCAGGCTCAGCTCTGGGACACCAGAACTGCGTCAGGAACTCCTAATGACTTCTACTCAACAACGAACAGTACAAATCAGTCTGTCTCATGTTAGGGCAACCTCCGGGGACTCCCCACCAGACAGGATGCCGGAGGGAAACCACGCCCGAGTCCACAGACAACTCAGCCACGACTTCGGCACTCAGCTTCAGCTCACCTCCGACCAAAGGCACAGTGTGCAGGTGGCACAGCATCAAACGCCACTGTCATGGGCCCTTAGAGGCCACCTCAGAGCTCTCGGGAGGAGGCAAGGATCCAGGAGGCTCAGCCTGCAGCATGGCCTCTCCCTGTGAGAACAGCCAGGCAGGTGGGCCGCACATGGCTGAGGCCCACAGCAGGGGAGCCGGCGTAGCCCTTGAGGAGCTCCTTCCCGAGGTTTCCGGTCCAGAGCTACCTTCCGGTGCAAGGTCAGATTTCATTCAACAACCACACAGCAAAAGAAACACCAGAAAGAAGGAGCACACCCTGCTCGCTCTACAATCAGGCCACAGATGCTCGGCACCTGAACCCGCTGAGCACCAGTTGTGCTACAAAGCGTCAGCCCCTCCCATCTCACCACACATCGCAACCTCAGCACCTGGGCCCACTGCCCTTGACGTCCACTTGCCTCAGTTTACCTTTAATACTCTGCCCATGAATCTCATGAATTCCAAATGATGGCAGAGAAGTAATTTTAGAAACCGTGTGTCACTCTGGTCCCCAGCCTTTTCCATTACACAGTAAAACAGGCAGAAAGTAATGGAAACTGCTGTCCACTGTTCATTTACCCCGACCCCAACTCCTCCCTTCCAGTTTCACGGTGTCTGAGAAGTGAGCCCCTCGCTGCCGCTCTATGTCCACTGTTTGCGTTTTTGCCAGAAAGCACTGCTGCAGTAAGAACACTCCTCAGCTTCAGACTTCATACCACACTTGGATGCACTTACGGCAAAGCGACGATCAGCCTGCTCCATGGTGTACGCGGTAAGGAGGAAATGCTGATTCAGACCAGGACAGCAGGCTGCTCAGGCAAACTACGGCTGCGGCACCCACTCTACCACTTTAAAGCACCCCTTAATTTTGGGGCTGAGCTAATTACAGATCATTTTTTGCATATTTTTAATTATATATCTGCACAAATTAGACACCCTTAAATCACACCTTCAAATGTGAGTTTTTTTTAACCTAGGCACAACATAAGGGGAAGGAAACAACCTAGACCTGTAAGCAAGCACCCTGGCGCTGAACTACTTCAGTGTCCCAGCTCTGGGAGCAGCCTCAGCCCGCTCCTCCTAGGGCAGGGGCCTCTCACACCCTGGCTTCCCGGGCTCCACCCAGGTGGAGCTCTGAATGAAGCTGTAAGGGAGGTTTTCACAAGTGAACGGAGAGCCCAGAGGTGCCAGCAGAGTGCCCTGCAGGCAGAGAGGGCTGACAGCCAAGCTAGGAGACCAGAGCCACAAACCAGGAGCGGTGGCAGGGCTGGGCCGGACGACTCCCTGGGGCAGCCACAAGAGAGTAAATGAACATGGGGACTCTAGCCCAGAGTGCAACCCCACTGAGGGCAGCTTGCTCCCTCTCCTCCCAGGCTCCTCCTGGGCTCAGTTCTGTGGACCCTGGAGAAGGTGCTGTCCGAGGGCTTTCAGAACCTAACCATAACGATGACCACTGCACAGGTGCTGACCACTGGCTGCAGCACCTCTGGATGCCCCAAGGGACCCACCCACCACGGACCCGCAGGGCATTTCTGAAGGCTAGGGGCCCCAGGCCTAGTTCACTCGCTCAAGTAGCCAGGTCTCTGTAAGTGTGCACGGCAGCAGTCTTTTCTGTTACCCTTCCAGAAGCCATTCCTCTGGGCAGCAGTGATCACCGAGAGGCAGGAGGATGAAGACGTCGCTGTCTGGGACACTGCACACTAAGTTCTCCCACTGAGCATGTGTGAGACAGAGGGCCACACGGCCAGGACGCAAGTCCACAGCAGGGCAGCTCTTCAACACGCACCCTGACTCCA